ATTATAACAATGTAAATGAACAAAACAATAAAGATGGCTGCCAACATGTATAACTTTATAGTGACTATTTCAACTGGTTAACTATCATATATATATACATCTATTTTACAGTATGTTTGACATATCGCTTGATAGAATAATCCTCTAGTGGCATTTAGTAACTGGATAGAATAATAACTATATAAATGTAAATGGAAGAATAAATACTAATTTATTTTGGCGACAATGTGTCTCTCAGCCTTTTCAATCAATCACAGTCACAATTGTATAGGTCAATAACACCAAATCAGAAACCATGTAGGACAACAGCAAGACCAAAGGCAAGATACGTGGCCAAAATAAATTAATAATAGTTCTTCCATAAGTGTGTGTTATATAATATATCATAACTAGAACATGGTAGGATGACAGATCTTACACATCATGACCCGAGTTCACAAAGCATTCTCAGACTTAAGTTGAGAATTGGCTCAACTTTCAATCACTGTTTATGAGAAATATCTTTGATGCAGAAACACAAACCTTTGCACATAGTTTCTTATTGATGTATTTGATACATTCAAACATCAAAATTATTATAAAGGGCTATACTTTAGTTAAAATAAGGTGAACAAGTTTGAGTAAATTCTCAACTTAAGTCTGAGAATGCTTTGTGAACACTGGGCCATATCTTTGATAGGGTACAATAATATATTGTATCTATTATAACTAGCACAGGGTAAGATGACATATCATACATTTGATAACACGAGGTAAAATCAAATTTCATAACTGACACAGGGTAAGATAAAAAACTTGTATAATATATACTAAACAGCAAAAACGTCAGTACGATTTCAAAATAAGAGAGGCACTTTAATCAAATTATTCTAGAAAAGCAATTTTTTGTGAACAGTATGTTGACGCATTAGTGATTAATTCATCACAATTCAAAGACATTATTGAGAAGGTTTCGAGTCTGTACACAGTCTATACATCAGTATCTGGTGTGTCCACCGCGAGTGTCAATAATAACAGCGCAGCATGTGTACATGGAGTGGACCAAATGAGTGATGAACGCCATTGGCACCTGGAACCACATTCTCAGAAAAGCCTGGCGCAATCCATTGGACTAAGGGCTGGCCAGTGCATAACGTTGACGCCGTTCTGCTGTAGAAAGTCCCGAGTAACTCTGGCGGTGTGGGCACGGGCGTTGTCATGCTGCAAAACATTGTTTCGATGACGTGCGAACTGTGGTATGATGTGGGCCTGAGAGCTTGATTGGTGTAGCGCACTGCTGTGATACTGCCCCCTCTCGCTGGACCAAGATTTTGGAACACCACAGGAGCCACTCTGTGGTTCAGGCCGATTTCACCCCAAACAATTTGGCTTGGACTCCCTTTGAGTCTGGTTCCATGACACATTGGTCAGAATAACCCTGGCCATGTCGACGCCATATTCTGGTCCTGCTATCTGCAGTTGATACGCAATACCGATTTTCATCTGTGGACAGAACAGTTCTCCATTGCCTGTGTCGCCAGTTCTGGTGTTGTCATGGTCAATCTGTAGACGTTCACGTCGATGGCGAGGGGTGAGGATCGGTCCACGGTAAGGTCTACGGCAATGGATGTTCTCTCTGGTGAGACGTCTGCACACTGTATCGGTTCTGATGGGTCTTCCGTGTGTTCCCACTGTCTGACGTACTGTCTCAGATGCCTGTGTGAAGGGATTCGGCACGTGCTGTCGCACAACATGGTGGTCTTGTCGCCTTGTGGTAACCCTTGGTCTACCAGTTCGGGGGCGATCATCCGTGGTGCTGGTGGCCCGAAAGCGTTGCTGAAGCCTGTAGATGGTCCGAACATTGACTTGGAATTTAAGTGATTGGCAACGGCTTGGGCAGTGTGGCCAGCGCTGAGTCTTCCAAGCGCCTGTTTCCTCTGAAAATCGTGGAGAACACATTACCATCTCAGAAGTCAGGTTGCGTTTTTGAGAATATTTCCTTGGTTCAATTCTATGTTTGGGAAGGAGCCTTATTGCTCAGGTAAGTTGGAGATGTGGTCACAAATATACAATAAAAACATTTGACAAGTTTTATGCAATGCGTCTTTTCAAAGTAACATACCAACCTGACATTTCTTTTGCTGCTTAGTAACACAGGGTAAAATAATATCTCATAGCGTTTGGAATTAGTGTGAGTTCAATAATGTGATATCACTGGTTTTAAAACATCTGCTAACATTACGATACGGTAACAATTATAAACAATATTAAGATAAGTAACAATGCCAATAATGATAATATTAAGATAATGTAACAATTTATAAACAATGATAATATTAAGATATAATATCACTTATAAAGAATGATAAGGTATCAATTATAGCGAATAATAGTATTAAGATACGGTAACAATTATAGCGCATGATTGTATTAAGACAAAGGTACAATTATAAAGAATTATAATATTAAGACAAGGTAACAATTCCAAAGAATGATAATATTAAGATACGGTAACAATTCCAAAGAATGATAATATTAAGATGCGGTAACAATTCCAAAGAATGATAATATTAAGATACGGTAACAATTCCAAAGAATGGTAGTATTAAGATGGGGTAACAAATTATAAAGAATTATAATATTAAGACAAGGTAACAATTTCAACATGATAATGTTAAGATGGGTTAACAATTTATAAAGAATCATATTATTAAGATAAGGTAACAATTATGAAGAATTATGAGATTAAGTCAAGGTAACGATTTATATAGTTTATAAACCGGTCCATAAAGATACCGTTGTTATATGTAGATTATAGCCCTGGGTAGTAAAGCATATTGCCCCTAAAGTTTATACAGCCGTCTATTATCATATTGATTCTATAGATTATATTCTCCCTCTTCAATTATAATGAAGGAGAGGGGAAGGGGAGAGGTGGGAGTAAACCGGAAGACCCGGGGAAAAACCTCAATGTTGGATATAATATGAAAAACAAAACAATTAGAGTAATTGTCGAGTACATTTATTAGAATGTATGCAAACTCCCCGTTGGCAAAAATACAAATGCACACTGTTCAGGTGGTGTCAGATGTTCTAGATTGAATACTAAGTATAACATCGTAACTAATTATGATGATTAGCTTTCGAGTATGATCAATATACTTTTATAAGATAACTAGCTTAGTTATGACTGTCTTTATATAATTTTGATTTTGGCTAACAGATCAGAGTTAGAGTTAATCTAGAAGAGTATAATATGTTCTAGGATATTCCAATACTAACGCAATAACGCAGTAATCATTAATGTACCAAATACAAAATAAATAGCACCACAAGTAGGAAGTTATTACAACCGTTTAGTTTCCTATATATAGCGAATCAACAAACAAACTTTCTTTTATGGATATAGAAGATAGACAATTTCTTTGATGATTCACTCAAGTTGATTTTTAAAAGCTAAATCGGTCTATTGTCGATAATTCTTTTGGCCTCAAATATTATATAAATAATTAATTATTAAATGGACATTTATTCATAGGACAAGCCCATAATAAACCTGGATGGTTGTGATTTTCAAGGGATTGAAACACGATCGCCATTTAATAATTTAATTTAGAAATGGGGGATCGACACTTTGTTTATTATCGTAACAACGACAGCAGTGAAAATCGAGAGTTAGCTATTCTTCAAACATTCAAAATGTTAATACTATACCTTTCCTATCTATTTCTAAACTATTTTGGTAAAAACTGTCAGCTTTTTTTTATCCAAATCTTATGCATCTTTAATAAACGGATGAGTTAACCGATATTGAACTCGCTTTATTAAATGCTGGATTGCTTTGGGTTTAACGTTCACTGGACACAAACTAGGTCATTTCGGGACTAACCTAACATATGGTTCGATTGTATTTCAATAATTCCCTTGCGTCTAGTTGTTGTTAGCTGTGGGAGGAAACACAAGAACCCGAGAAAACCTAGGAGGAGGATGGACAGGCACCTTACCCCTTGTGACGTATAAGTGTGGGATTGAAACCACGTCATTTGACTCAATGACAGACCATTCGACCAGAAAGTATAGATTCATGTGTTCAATTATTTAGCTCTCTATAGACCGACCGGGGCTGACGTAACATTAAACACCGTTTCATTTAATTAATGCGAGTATTAAAGTTAACAATACCACCGACCTGACACAATGACAGACCTTATGATATACAGTACATGCCAAAAAGTGTAATTTATATCCGCCAAGCAGTGTAAATACCTATATTCAATATTTTGGCGAAATATAGACGGTTGGTGCTGACGTAACATTAAACACCGTTTCATCTAATTGATACGGGTATTAAAGTTAACAATATATTTCTGCTGTGAATCTTAAAAATATCGGTTTGATTTTGCGTTTACATATTGTCTCAAATAATATTAAAACACGTATTAGTCTAATTCTTAACAAATAAATTCATTGGTAGAATAATCAGACGAACCCAAACATCCATTGTTGTCATTTTCTATAAATTGTGCAATAATACTTCATTAATTCTATCAATGGAAGCAAATATTAACGAACAAGGCTGCAATGACATTATGATCACCAGCTGAACTGGTATCCTCTTCAAACAGGTATGTTATCCACAAATTCTACAGTGTCATAATAACCAAGTAATTTTGCGCTTTCAATACAGGATGACTTTTGACCTCTATTTAATTTAGCTCCACGTGACAGTAAGAGTTTAATCTTATCAATACGTTGTGTTTCTGAACTGCAGCAGCTGTGAAACACTGTCGTGTTATTGTCGCTACCAGCCATATAATTCACATTACAAATACTACATGTATCTATTAAATACTCTACCACTTCTACCGTACTCATTGCACATGCATGATGCAGTAATGTGAAGTTTTGGGCATCAATTACGTCTGTCTCGGCGCCATTACTTACCAAGATGTTTATCTTTTCAACCGCTTGTGGTACATCTTCATCACAACAATAGAATATTGGCGTTTGATTATACTCACCCCCTACACGGTTCACATTACAGTTTCTATCAATCAAATACTGAACAACATCTACTGTACTTAGCTGACAAGCAACATGTAACAGTGATGTGTTATCTATATCTGTAACATCTAAATTAGCTCCATTACTCACCAAGACTTTCATCTTTTCAACCGCTTGTGGTACATCTCCCAAACAGCAATATAATACTGGCGTGCTATTATAATTACCCCCTATACTCTTCACATTACAGTTATTATCAATCAAATACTGAACAACATCTACTGTACTTTCTCTGCAAGCTATATGTAACGGAGATGCGTTATCTATATCTGTAACATCTAAATTAGCTCCATTACTCACCAAGACTTCCATCTTTTCAACCGCTTGAGGTACATCTTTATAACAACAATATAATACTGGCGCCAAATTATATTCACCACCTACGCAGTTCACAGTACAGTTATTATCAATCAAATACTGAACAACATCTACGGTACTTAGCCAGCAAGCAGTATGTAGTGGTGATTCGTTATTTATATCTGTAACATCTAAATTAGCTCCATTAATTACCATGACTTTCATCTTTTCAACCGCTTGTGGTACATCATTAAAACAACAATATAATACTGGCGCCATTTTATATTCACCACCTACGCTGTTCACATTACAGTTATTATCAATCAAATACTGAACAACATCTACGGTACTTAGCCAGCAAGCAGTATGTAGTGGTGATTCGTTATTTATATCTGTAACATCTAAATTAGCTCCATTACTTACCAAGACTTTCATCTTTTCAACCGCTTGTGGTACATCATTAAAACAACAATATAATAATGGCGCCATATTATATTCACCACCTACGCAGTTCACATTACAGTTATTATCAATCAAATACTGAACAGCATCTACAGTACTTAGCTTGCAAGCCAAATGCAACGGTGATCGGTTATCTATATCTGTAACATCTAAATAAGCTCCATTACTCACCAAGACTTTCATCTTTTCAACCGCTTGTGGTACATCTCCCAAACAGCAATATAATACTGGCGTGCTATTATAATTACCCCCTACACTCTTCACATTACAGTTATTATCAATCAAATACTGAACAGCATCTACAGTACTTAGCTTGCAAGCCAAATGCAACGGTGATCGGTTATCTATATCTGTAACATCTAAATTAGCTCCATTACTTACCAAGACTTTCATCTTTTCAACCGCTTGTGGTACATCTCTTTGACAACAATCGAATACTGGTGTTCTATTATACTTACCACTCACACTGTTCACGTTACAGTTATTATCAATCAAATACTGAACAACATCTACTGTACTTTCTCTGCAAGCTATATGTAACGGAGATGCGTTATCTATATCTGTAACATCTAAATTAGCTCCATTACTCACCAAGACTTTCATCTTTTCAACCGCTTGTGGTACATCTCCCAAACAGCAATATAATACTGGCGTGCTATTATAATTACCCCCTACACTCTTCACATTACAGTTATTATCAATCAAATACTGAACAGCATCTACAGTACTTAGCATGCAAGCCAAATGCAACGGTGATCGGTTATCTATATCTGTAACATCTAAATTAGCTCCATTACTTACCAAGACTTTCATCTTTTCAACCGCTTGTGGTACATCTCTTTGACAACAATCGAATACTGGTGTTCTATTATACTTACCACTCACACAGTTCACATTACAGTTATTACCAATCAAATACTGAACAACATCTACTGTACTTTGCCAGCAAGCTACATGTAACAGGGATGTGTTATCTATATCTGTAACATCTAAATAAGCTCCATTACTTACCAAGACTTGTATCTTTTCAACAGCTTGTGGTACATCTTCTTCGCAACAATAGAATACTGGCGGTATATTATACTCACCCCTTGCACCGTTCACATTACAGTTATTATCAATCAAATACTGAACAGCCATTAAAGTGCTATATCGGCAGGCATAATGCAATAATGTTTGTGTGTATGTATCTAGAACATCTAACCCTCCACCTTGTAATAAATGCTTTCTAATCTCTAGTATTCCGGTTTGATCCAATTCATTCATTGTATCATATATAGTTTTATCAAATATAAGTTTAAGTAAATCAATTGGGGCTGACAGACAGATGTTAAAAAGCGTTTTACAGGAGGTATAACCTGTAGAAACAAGTAGCTTTACTTTATCAATATTGTCAAATTCAGAAAAACATGCCCTTTCTAAGGGGGTTTTACCATCGTTATCTACTATATTTATACTATCTTTATACTGGTCTAATACTGATATGAATTGTTGTATATCATCAGTATACGCTGAATGGTGGAGTAGAAATTCCTTGCTGGAATCTCCAATCTGGTTCTTTGTTTCAATCGTGTTTACTTCAACATCACCTACAATAAATGATATATGATAATAAGTAATGGATAGAGACACGATTTAAATGAATATTTAATATACTTTGTCATAGAGGTGAGGAATGAAAAAGGCGGCGAATATAAACCTAATACACGGTACGAAATAGTCGTAGGTATCCAACATTATTTGCGACAGAATGGAGTATTTATTAGTTTGTTGGACGACAAGGAGTTCCTTGGAATGAGACAAGTTCTTGACGGTAAGATAAAAGATTTGTCGAGACAAGGTATAAGGATTACCCGCAAACAAGCAGACATCAATTTTATTTCAGTTATTCGCAGGTCTTTACCAGTGGGAGAAAACCGGAGGACCAGGAGAAAACCCAAAGTTTGGACAGGCGACCCTACTCCTTGTCACGACTAACCCGGGAATCAAAACCACGCCAGTTGACTCAATGATGGAACGCGCCTGCGTTAACCATTCGACCACCCATCACCCCACCCCACAAAAGAATACAAGTATGGCGACTGTTTAGGGCGTTAACTTTTTAGTTTTGTAATTTGAGTTCAGCTTTAATAAGACCGCTGGAGGATGGCCGTGAGTGTGATATGGGGTTTAACGTCCACTCGACATAAACTATGTCATTTCGGGACTGACATATAATGGTTTAATTTTATATCAATTTTTCGCTTGCACATCATTAGCAGTAGAAGCTAATCAGACGACCCGGAGTAAACCCACGAGGTTGGATAGACGACACGACTCCTTCTCACAAGAGGGGAATCGAAACCACGCCACTTGATTTAATAACAAGCCTTCTAACCCAATGCGCACGCGTTAAACATTGCGCCACGCAGCCCCCCCCCCCCCCCAGAAATAAAGCTCAAATTAGACCTACACGTGTGTCAAATACAGATATGGGAAAATGGAAGATAATATATGGAATCTAATCACTGTTATTTGTCTACTTTTTAATAGTAACTCTGTCTATTGCTGAGTGCTTACAAATTTTATCTACGCAAAATCGGTGATAATGTTTTTTTAAGAAATGAAATCTATTATGAACGAAAAATTAAGCCAAGTTATTCATGCCACAAATAACTTTTGTTGCAATGATCTTTGTATAATTCCAGTTGTAGAAAATTTAATGGATATGATTAGTGGATTTTTATCTTTATTTTTGCCAGCAGAGGAAAACATTTATGGATGACATTATATTTCATTTCAATTCAGGAGGTTAAAAATGTTATTGAATATGACGTTTATATAACTGGACAACGTCCCCTGTTTTACTCTAGGTCTAGAGGTCGTCAAAGTGTCATTCTGTCAAAGGACATATTAATAAACGCGTCATATGTTGCAGAATTCAAAGTAACACAAGGTTATATCAGAAGGAAAAAGGTCAAAATAAAATGTAGATGTCATTTTTAAGATTATTATTAATGAGATTAATCTATAGTATCAAAGTTGTACACATACGCTAACACCCTCTGAGGTATAAATATCGGTATTACAACGCCCTCTGGTGTAATAAGTTATATTTATATCACGGCTTTCATGAGTTAACAGGTTTAACCATAGAGGCCGTAGGCTGGGATGTTAAACCTGTTAACGAATGAAGCGGACTATAAATGACTTGTAACATTGACACCTGCTCAACATGATTGTTGTTATTACACAGAAAACCCACCCCACTTTTCTATATGATTTCTACTAAAACTAGTGTAAACCAGCAAAAGTGTGCAATAACATTAAACATGTCTAGGTAGAGGGAAACAATCTGCTTATTCAACGATAAGAACAAAGGAAGATTTCCCGTCCATGTTACAATGTCGGTTATTCGTTATATTTTTCATTTGAAGATTTTAACTTAAAGACTTTTTTAAACGTAGAAAATATTTTCAGATGAGTTCAAATGTCGTAATGTCGCGTAAAAATGCCGTAGTGTCGTATTAAACTGTCGTGATGTCAGGTTGTCGGCCATCTTCCAATCAATATACCGTATGATTATAAACACTGATCCTGGTGTTGACCAAGAAAGTTCCTCGGGATGTAGCAGCGTGGTTTCTCCCAGCCTGGTAAAGAACAATGTCTAGTTGTGTAGATGGGACAAAAGCATAAGCCCCTGTGCACATAAAAGAACCCTTCACAGTTGGAATTCGATGGAGAAATGCCACTGCCCCTATAATGTTCGTCATAGCACTCTGCATAGCGTATGCCTATCTTTAATTGGCGCAGAAAAGTAGGAAAATGAAATGAAATGGGATTTAAGGTCATACTGTTCTGTTCCGGGTGGGCTAATGAAGACGAGCATGCGCTATACAGTGTACTATCAGGGAAACTTCACCCGAATAGCGGCGCTATAGTCTATTCTTATAATTGAATTCTGACATTGGGTCTTTTACGTGCACGACAATATTTACATGGGAACTCGGTTGTTCGTTCCACCCGAATGACTATACGTTATACGAGAAAATGCTACATTAGAGACTTTTGGCAATCGGAATTTTCCCATCCGTATCACGTATCCGTATCGTATACGTGATACGTTGCGTCAATGTAGTTTTAGAGTTTTGGCAGATTTTCACGTCGCTGAGTTGAGGTTAGTCCTATTACAGCATCACAACCAGTACTATTCAAGTGCCTAGCCTACAATTTCCCGGAGGGAGTGAAGTCGCTCGACAGCCGCTGGGCTATTAAAACATTTTTAATGTCGAATCTTTTAAAAATCTTCGACTTCGACTCGGTCGCAATTTTTGGTTTCACTAATGTATCATTTCAGAAAGTTCATATCCCGTTACCATAGAATAAAATCATTTACAGATTTACAAGGTCCCTCTTCCCTAAATGTAGCACCTAGATCAACCAGCATGCAGACATACGGTAAAAATATGAAAATTCCGAGAAAAACCCATCAAAAATAGAATGATTAAATTCCAATCGTTATCACGGTTAAAATCACATCAAATATACACCTTCGTGTTCCAGGGTAAACATAGATTCATAAAACGCTATGATACAACATTTCAGCGTCTAAAAGTAGCAAAAAAGACGGTAAAAAGACGACGTTGTTATACGGACCTGATCCGTATGAAAGCTGCCGTATCCGTGTGCCGTATCACGTATAAGAAATACACACACATTGATGACGTCACACGCAAAATCCATACGGATACGCGATACGGACCAGGAAATTACGCTTGCCAAAAGTCTCTAATGTTGCGAGTTTTATTGCTCCGTATTGGCTAAAAGTGTCAAATCAATTGGTGGGAAATTGAAACAATGTTGCGCATTTGATCGATCTCTATTGGCTTAAATGTCCAATTAATTCTTGGAAAAATGGTTACATACCACTGTCAGTGTGGGTACGTTGAGCACATACCATTGGCAGTGTTGGTGCATTACATTGGATTGTCAGTGTGGTTGCGTTACATTTCATTGCCAGGGTGGGTACGTTATGTCATTGTCAATGTGGGTGCGTCGTTACATTTCATTGTGGGTGCGTTATGTCAGGGTGGGAGCATTATGTCATTGTCAAGGTTGGTGCATTATTCCATTGTCAGCGTGGGTGCGTTACTATTATTGTCAGAGTGTTAGGGTGTGTGCATTTACATGTGATCATCAATCATAAAAATGACATTAATAGATGTGGCCCGACGACATTCTCCAGTGCAATCACTCCTTGGGGGTAATCCCATGATCTTTTGGCTAGTTACTACAAATGATATCTTACCTAATTTATCTGCTATCGGTCCAAAACCCTTTTCTCTTAAAGCGTCTATGAATATCTGATAACAATCACCACATTCTGTCATTAAGATGTCCAATAGTGTTTCTACTCTAGGTCTACCGATCTCTGTATTAAGTATACGGGTTTTTCTGTCGAGATCAAGAACATCTTTAGAGAATAAGTTGGTGATCAGGGCATCGGGATTGAACACTCTCTCGAGAATGTAGTCGTAATGGTGCCGAATTCTCTCTGAGTCATTGAGAGGCATTGTGAAATTACCGGAAGAAGACGCCATTGTTTTCGTTTTATTTCCTGAAAGATAAAGCACTAGAATTAAAGAACCTCGATAATCACTAGTTGTAAGATAAGATCTTTTCAAATCTCCAAAGATCTCATTGAGAATGAAATGGAACTATGGCTTCTAATGGCTGGTCCCTCAACAAAAATGAATTTGGTTGCAATTAATAATATTTTGCAAATAAACAAGAGAATGTAAAATATTTTTTTCGAGTTTTACAAAAGCTCTTTCCAAAAAAAACCCCACCATTCGCCTGTAATTATTTATAACTGAGTAGCTCATACAGTTAGGCGTGGTGCAGGAAAGGGCATAGCAAAGGGCAAAGTATAGTCGTTCGGGTGGGACGAAACAAAGTATACATAGGCAGGCATGTAAAATAACACTTGGCAGTTGGAATTCGATATCAAAGTAGGCCATAGCGCCGTTGTCCGGGCAAAAGTGCCATCATAGCACACTGATGCCCTTAAGAAAGAAATAGATTCCTTCACATTTTATTTGAACATATCGTGACAAGCATAAACCGATTAATAAATATACATATCTTTAAAAGAAGAAGTCAAAAACGTTAAAATTTCTGTAACACTTTCTTAGTGATAACAGAGGTTAGTTTAATAAATAGATGGTTTATATACATCGGAATAGAATACAACACATCTACATAACTACAACAGCAATACAGGTACTTAGAATATATACAGGAACTCATCAAGACGATACATAAATATGTTAACTCTAAATTTCCGCCTCTCTGCCAAGGCAGCGGTTGAACTCGGGGGAGTCCATACGCCTGTCTGTGTGCTCTCCCTGCTGTCCCTGTTCGTCTTTGCTCTCCGTCTTCTCGAAACAGAGAGACCCCCTCTCGGGTGAGGTCCCAAGCTCCAATCTCCTACTGATTTGTTTCAACAACCTCAGCCAATTTATACTAAACTTAGATTTGGTATAAGTTAATTAAAGTATGCGTATACATATATTATTGATATTAACATATTAAAATGAAGAACTACACAATGAATCATATTGATGTTGGCGACACCTGAACACTAGTAAATGTAATTACCGGTCAGTGATAGGTCAGCGAATTGTCTAACGTGACCTCTCTCACCCTAATAATGTAACATTTGCTCATTCAGCCATAAAATAGGATATTATTTTAAATATGGACAGGCGACCCTACTCCTTGTCACGTACAACCGGGGATTCGAAACCAAACCAGTTGACTAAATGACAGGCCTTATGATTCAGCGCCCATGTGCTAACTAATCGGCCACCCAACCCCCCTTCCAGATTAAGACTGACGGGTTTAAGTTGTTTGAAAACGTATCAAGTATATTGAGGTAGTTCCTCGGTCCTAAGATGGAGGTTTGTAAGGGCTTTTCACACAGAATTAAGCAGTTTTCTTCTCCAAAATATAATCGAGATTGACCCTTTAAGATAGAGTATTTAAGATAAAACGAAAACACAGTTTACTGTTTGTATCCATCCTTATAAAATATGAAAGAAAAAACAATGACTACTTACTTGGACTTCCAAGTTGTTAACTTTTTTTTTTACAACGAAGGCGTATTTGTATGCGTTAGTGATGAATAAATAAAAAGGGGTCTTTCGCCCCACATTTCCATACGCTTTATGATGTAAAGCATGCATTTATATTGCATTCTTCGTATAATTGAACTTGAACCTTGAGCCTGCAGTGATATATGTATCGGCCACGTATATCAATGTTATCTTAAGATAAGATAAGATTTTTTTTTACCAAACCATCCAATGATGACATCATACAAATATAATGACTGGCAAAATTTACTCTTCAAAAAAAAAAAAAAAAAAAAAAAAACCAAAGAAGAAACGCACAGTCCATTTTTCATCCTTTTTCTTTATTTGAACGGGGTCGTTGTTACCATAAATCTTACTTGTTTTTAATGTCGTTATGTAAAGATAAAAGAAATTCATTATTGGTTTTAAATGTGGGGTCACTAATTGTGACTGGTCATACTTTTTGCTTAAATTTAATTTCGCTTGATTGCGCCAAGACACACGAGATAAACAACTTCGCAAGCTTTTCGCATGAAACCCAAATCTAAGGCCTTTAAAATCCCGGGGTTCTCGCTTTCAAAATCAGTTGCACATGTAAACACTCAACCAGCCAAGTCATGCCACATATGAACGAAGTCCAACGCAACAGCGATTTCCCTCATAGCACACTGTATGGCGTATGCCCGTCTTCATTAGCCCAGGTAAGGAGCAGAAGAGTAGGACGTTAAACCCCATTTCATTTGCTATCGATCGGTTACAAGCAGGTGAATCCCAGACACCTTTGGGATAGGTACCGACAGCGAAACCCAAACTCCGGCCAAACAAGGGTGACCCCACCTGCCCTGAATCGTCACATCCGGTTACGTCATTTGCGGAAACAGTTCACAACAGCGACTTGTACTACAGCAGCAATTCTTGGGCAGCGTAGAATCGCAAACTAGACAGTCAATAGACGCCTACGTGAAATCGGATTACGAGCCAAACATCCCCTTAGAGCTGGTGTTTTAAAATACGCCGACACCGTCAAATCCGACTTCAATGGGTTCTGACACACAGGGTATGGCCACAGCAACGGGGCTACGGCCTACTCTTATATCGAATTACAACTGTCAAGGGATATTTTACGTGCACGCCCATGTGTACATGGGACCTCGGGTTTTCGTCCCATCCGAACGATTAGACAGCTTTCCTTGTCAGGTCCCCCGTCCTGCACCACCGATTGGCCTGCAGCCATAATTTCTAGCTAGCTTGGAAACACAATTCCGAAAAAAACTATACATATTTGGAAAGCTTATGACACCATGAACACAAAATCCGGGAGTTTCAAGCCAAATGTTTTCAATATCCTGACTTGTACTACCAATTCTGAAGTTGACATGAAATTAAATATTGGCGAAAACAGTCGATGCCTTCATCTTTGGCAAAGAATAGTGTATTGGTTGAATTTTGAGTTGAACAAAGAATTCTGGGATTCCATTAACAGTAAAATAAAAAGAGTTATCTCGCTTCCTGTCTAATGTCTGTAATTGATAGCAGATTTTCAGGTGCATGGTGACTGCTCGTTTTGTATGACGCACAAGACGACCATGTGTGTGCACACAAGCCCAATAATTATGTGGATGTTAGAGGTGGATGTTTGCTCAGAGTCGATTTGTAGCATACCCTAGCCAAGGGATATGTTTGACAATTGGTTGAATAATATGCTTTGAAATAATGGAGATCAGTAGCACTGTAAATGGCATTGAACCACCTGATGTTTTCCGCTAAGATCTACATTGTAAACCCACGACCCACATACCCTTTCAATTAGCCACTACAGTATTTACATAACTGTACATATAGCTGTAAACCTCTATTTCAGATATGATTAAAGGTCAAATTACAAACATAGATATAAGTTTAAAAAATATAATTCTGTATCTTGGCTGGTATGAAGCGAAAGGTTGGATAACAGGATGAACAGTACAATTATTTATTAAAGTAAAACAATCGTTGAAAATCAAAATTAAACAGTTACTCTGCACATCAAATGTCATCAAAGTTAATCATCATCACTGCCACTAAATGTATTAACATCAAATTCGGTCTCTTTTAACAGTTTTTGTTTTCATTTTCACACTGACTACACTTACACAGATCTGTACAAGACAAGTTTGTTGAATGGCAAGAGCAGTGCCCATTCATGCACTTCCCTGACTTGCACCCACATGACACACGGATTCTAAAACACTATCAGACGCAGGATTTCTTTTTTGTCGCCCGCCTTTCGAATAAAGCAGCGGACAATTAAAATGGGTTCGTCCGTCTGTCTGTCCGTCACACTTTTTTGTACACAACAACCATTCTTCTAACATGAGCTATAATGTTCAAACTTGGTGTAGGTGTTTCTTATGTCAATGCCTTGATGAGTTCAAAGATGAGCATATTCTGCTTAGGGTAAGCAGAGATAAGCAAGTTGATTGGTTGATGCTTTGGGACACGATAACTTTAGTTCTAATTAGGTGAGAGTGATGAAACTTGGTGTATAGTTTCATTTACATCAATACCTTGACTTAGTTCGATCTTGAACATTTTCTGCTAAGGGTAAGCAGAGCAATAAGCAATTTCATTGGCCGAGAATTTGGAACACAATAACTCTCCTTCTAATTGAGCTAGAATTTTCAAACTTGGTGTAGGTGTTTTTGTATATGTTAAATGCCTCGATGGAGTTCGCAGATGAGTATTTTCTGCTTAGGTTAAGCAGAGATAAGCAATTTGATTGGTTGGTGCTTTGGGACACGATAATTTTAGTTCTAATTAAGTGAGAGTGATGAAATTTGGTGTATAGTTTCATTACATCAATATCTTGATGAGCATTTTCTGCTCATGGTAAGCAAAGCGATTAGCTATTTGATTGGTCAAGACTTTGGAACATAACAACTCTGCTTTTAATGGGGATAGAATGTTTAAACTTGACGTAGATGGTCATTAGGTGAATGTCTTGACTGAGTTCAATGATTAACATGTCGAACTAAAGCTAAGCAGAGCTAAGCAATTTCATTGGTCGATGCTTAGGACAAGATAACTTTGATTCTATCTGATAGAGAACAATGAAACTTAGTGTATAGTTGATAATTGAAAAAAATAAATGTGCAATTAATTAATATCTGTCATCTATTTATTTTGGCATGGGACATCAGCCTCACTGTTGGTTTGTTCATCCATGTTATGAGTAGTTAATTGTTTTTTTTTAATTCCCAGCCATGATTTTCCGGTGAAGGCACATTGACATAGCCCAGCTTAGGCATGGACCAAATGGTCTTAGGCCCCCGAATAAAAACCTATTAAATTCCAAATGAAAATTCCACTCATTTCTCTAGCTGCACGATCGGCGGAGACCGGGTGAGTCTGTGATCTTTCAACCTTCTCTGTGATTGGTCGAAAACCGCGACGTTGGCGATGGCTCGTATGTAAATTATAATCTTTTCGTAGTGGTAGGGGCCCCGTGATTCTAGTCAGGCCCAGGGCCCTGCTCCATTTAAGCTGGGATTTGCGCATTGATAGTTTGACATATGGCTCTTTTATGAATGGCACACTGATAGTTCACACGAAGAATATGTTGTTTCAAGGCATCATCAGCCGGTAGTATATTTTGCTCAGAAGAAGAATTGATACAAAGATCTTGTAACTGGCTTCGTTTACATGATCACATTTTTGTCCATATAGCTTATATACCAAAGACTAAAGCAAGGCATTTATAAGGGTATGAACTTTTAAAGTAAATGTTATAGCAAGACTTTCAAATGCCTTTAAAAATTGTTTATTTTCTTTAACTATCTGAAAGGCATACTTCTTTCCTTTTCCATAAAACGCACTAGTAGAATCACACCGGTCAAGACGAGCAGTCCAACTAGTGCTTCGGTAAAGTCTTGTCCAATGCAATGTACAACTCTTTGAACATCAATAATCATAGCCATATTTTTCACTCCTGTCAAAAAATAACGATAAGCACTTATTTTTGGCTGCACCGTTACACATAATTGCCACACCTGTTTCCAAATTCTTTGGCTGCATGTTGGGCATGAAGAAGAAAACGTGTATCGGCCTCCTCATGATCACATTTAATTCTTGTCCAAAATTTACGAGAGTAGCGACATTCCACGTTTTGAATAGGAAGTCTTCTAAAGCATCTTTATTCTGGCCGCTAGAAAGAATTTTTTTCCTCTGGCTTTGTGTCTTTTGTTTCTCCTTATAAATACTGATCATCTGTATCCCTCCAGTCGTACGTCTGTTCCGTTCAAGATTTTTAATGCTTTTTTCTGGTTACAGATCTGTGACAAAGTCTACACGAGAACATTTGTAAAATTTTGCAAGACCTAATAATTTTGTCAGAAAGTTCGCCAAATGTAGTAGCAACAGTTTTCATACTCTAAATGAGAGTCATGCCATCAATTATCAGTTCACCATTTTCTGGAACAGAATCGATATGACATTCTTTTACTTAATTTTAACTATCTGATAAGAACGCAGCCTTGTTTGTCTTTGCTAAATATCCGTTTGCATTAGCAAGGGGAAACAACACAGGACTCAGCGAGCAAGTCAATATTTCTTTCAAATAATGCTTCTACTCTGTGTAATTCTATCGTTTTTGTGTAATTCTATCGTTTTAAAGAGGCAGTTTTTTTCCAGACTTTGTTTTATAGTTTGTTTCTTCTCGTCTCCAAATGTTTTTAATTTTAAACTGTATATAGGTGCAAGCATGACAATCTTCTTTTCTAAAAGTCGCTCATTAATGAATGTTTTCATAGCTTCCTCACCCTTTTGTTTGCTTCCAAAAGGTCTGATTTCACTGCAACCATTGCAATAGCTCCATTACTTGGGCTTACAAGATTATCTTATGAGGTGTCAAAAGGGTTAATCATGCTTTCAATTGTTGTTGTAATGGCCTTAACAGCCGCCACATCTTTTGAAGTTGTCTTACCAAGATTATTATGCTGGCTCGTGTCGAATACCAAACCAGCCATCTCTTCACATCTTCTGGTTATTGCAGCCCTTTCAGACTAAGAAAGAATCCACCGCTGTGACGCACCAGGATTCAGAGTAAACTCAGTTATCCCTCCTCTAGTTTTCGAATCTCTATTACATGTTTGCTTAATTGCCTGAATGTTTATCTTGACGTTGAACTGTCCAATTTCCTTTGGATAATGCTTCCTTGTGACATGCTGGGTGACAGATAGGAATATTTAACATTTTGGACCAGTATGCAGGCAAATACCTTGAATAGTTCATTCGATCACAAGCAAAGAACCATGGCATCACTGATTTGATAGAAGCAAGATGTAAATTCTAATCAGATTCGCGTGTTCCGCGAAAAAAACAAGCAAATTTAAAACATTTCTATATAAGATGACCACAATGAAAATGTTAAACTATTCTGAACATCCACATAGTTCTGGTACCGTAACATCAAGTCCTCTAAGCCAAATGATTTTAGTTCATCTTAAACTGAATCTGGATATGCCAACTACAATTTATTTGTTGTCCCCCGCCTTTCGCTGAAAGCAGGGGACTATTAAAACTGGGCCTGTCGGTACGTCACAGTCTTTGGAAC